TCATCTTCTAGCTGTATGCTAGAAGGAATGAATGCTCCGTAGAAACACTGATTAGCAAGCGATTAATTCCACTGTGATTGTCAGGAAATATTTCATAGACTCGGAACAGCCACAGTAGGTGCACTGCCCTTTATTGAGGACCAGAGGCCATCTGTCCTAAATGCTTCCAAGTCTCCCGCTATCTGGTAGGCATTATCATTCTCATCTTTATAAATTAGAAATTGAGGTTTAGGTAAGGAATTTGCCCAAGGGCGCTCAGTATAAAGGGCAAAGCCAGGACTCCAATCTCGGGGAGCTTGACTGAAAAGCCTTTGTTCCTAACCAAATACACCACCCTGTAGGTTCTAATGCAGCCCCTTGATTAAAGCACATAAACTTTTCAGTAAGTTGTAAATTGACTTATACTAGGCATTCCTGAGAAGGTTGGCTGTTTTCCTTTTTCATGTCAAAACTTTTAGAAGTATTCCCTTAGAGCAGTGGTTCTCAACCTTCCTAATGCCACAACCCTTTAATACAGTTCCTCATGTTGTGGTGACCCCCACAACCAGTTTCTATGACTGAATCTGTGCGGGAGTAGAAAGCCTCTTCTTTCTTCTGGGGAGTGGCTGGTGATTTTGAACTGCTGACCACAAGGTCAGCATACATCTCACTACACTACCAGAGCTCCTTTAACAAGGAAAGCAGCTTCCGTTTGCTTGGGGCAGAGAATATTTTCTATGGAAGTGGGGTTTTAATGGGATTACTTGATGGTAAAATTTTGACTAACCTCTTCATAAAAATGCTGACTCTGGAGTAGGAGAGGTCCACTGTGTGGGAGCAGAAGAGGATGAGCAAGTTTTCCATTAAAGCTGAATCTGAGGGTGGATGAAGGAATGGGGTAGACTGTGGGTACAAAGATCTGTTAACATTCACAATGCCGCCATAGAAAACGATGTACTTATAGGGCCTTGTGAGCAGTACGGTGGTGCTGTGGCGTTTTAGTGAGCCAGGGTTGGAAGTGGCCTTCATTCAGAACGCGTAGCCTATTGGCCACATTTAATTGTAAGGGAGGTTGGGGATTGTAGTTCAACTCTGTCCTCTGGAAGAAGATGAGAGTCAGGTGCAAAGAAACACAGGTGTGTGGAAACCTAAGCAAGTGAGGTGGGGAATCAAGGCTTTTATTCGTGCTGGGGAAAATGAACACTTGGACAAAAAGGAAAATAAAATAAATGATGAAGATGATAACACCTAGCAAAATATTATAAATTGGGTGTCTTATGGTTCTAGAGGCCATGAATGCATCGTGGTGTGTGTAGGCCATGGTGTTTCCCGAGACTGAGGGACGCTGCACTACATCTCTCTCAGGCACTGGTAGCCCCAGGGCCTCCCTGGCTTGCAGCTAGCTGTCCACCAGTTGGGTGACATGAAAGACGGCTTGGTTTTGTTCCATCTCTGTGGTCCGTTGGGAATTAGACCATTGTGATCCATGAATTTCTATTGGCTGTTTTTCAGAAGTAGATCACCAGGCCTTTCTTCCTAGTTTGTCTGAGTCTGGATACTACTAAAGCCTGATCAGCGTGAGAGCACAGTGCAAGCCTTCACTGACAAGACAGGCGTGGTAGCTGGGTGTGAGATGCACTGGCTGAGAATCAGACCTGGTTCTTACGCATCCCAAAGAAAAAAAACAAACTCAGTGCCATCAGTTGATGCCGACACATAACGACCCTACAGGACAGGCTAGAACTGCCCCTGTGGGTTTCCAAGACGAGTTTTGTACAGGAGAGGAAGGTCCGTCTTGCTCTCACTGAGTTGCTGGTGTAGAACTGTTAACCTTCTGGTACCAGCCCCACGCTTAACCACTTTGCCATCAGGGCTCCTGTCGGTCTCCCATACAGCAGGTGAGACTTCTTCCACTGAAACACTGCTTCCCCTCCTTGGCTTGTTAACTGCATCACAACTTCACAAAGAACAGCTTTCCCAAAATCATATTTGTAGGTACCAGGTGTTAGGACTTCAGCTTATCCCTTTGGGCGACACAATTAAGTACATCATAATGGATTTATTTATTGGGTACTCAGTGTGTTGTGATGAACTGCTCTAAGTCTTCATTTCTCACCATTTTTTCTTAATAATTATTTGAGGTAAGTGCTGTTAACCATCAATTCCAAGGCGGCCCTAGATAGGGTTTCTGAGACTGTAAATCTTTACAGGAGCTACATAGCCTCATTTTTCTCCCGAGGAGTGGTTGGTAGGTTTGAACCAGAGACCTATTGTTAGCAGTCCTTTGCTTACCCAGCAGTACCACCAGGGTGCCTTAAGTACTATTATAAGCCCCATTTTACTGACAAAGATGGCTTTCACTAAAAATCTTTGATGTCATTGGTTGGAGCGAGTAGGTGGGGAATGGGAAGAGTGATCTAAGAGCCAAATAACTTTTTATTTTAATAGCAGAAATCCTAAGTAATGCCAAAGTAATGTGTTTATGATAGAACATCTAAGTTAAAATAAACAATATACAGCAGGCAGAATAAACATTATATATATATATAGTTAAGCTATAGAGTAAGCACCAGTAGAGGCTACTAAAAAAGTTGAAACCTTTCATAATGACTAGTTCAAGTGAGGTACCAGTGGCCTTAGTACTTTTGCACCTTCTAATTTATTGGCTGCTATTTGTCAGCGTTGACTCAGTGCCAGGGAGTTTGAAACTGAAGAGGTAGTAAAGTGAAAAGGGTACAATGAAAGCATTGCGATTATTTCTGTGTAGTGGCCATTATTCATACTTTACTATGTTGAAGTGCAGTGGTGCTTCTGGATAGTTGGCCTGTTAACTGCAGGTGCTTTTGGATAGTTGGCCTGCTAACTGCAGCACAACTCATTAGCGTTAGAGCAATATGCTTGTTAATGGAGACTTATACTGGAAGGATGGAACCCTGGAGGCCTAGTGGTTATGTATTGGGCTGCAATCCACAACATTAGCAGTTCACAACCACCAGCCGAAACTCTTGTAAAAAGTTACGGTTTCAGAAACTCCTCACAGGGATCGTTCTAGCCTGTCCTGTAGGGTCACTGTGAGTCAGCATGGACTCCATGGCAGGGAGATTGGTTTTTGTTTTTGGTTTTTTGTATACTAAAAGGGAGTGAAGACCAAATTTCTAGACCTCGGTTTGCTCTAAACTTTATTGTCCAAGTCACCGAACCTTTGGTGCTTCCTTCTCTTTAGATTTTAGTGGAAGTGTTGAATGGGAGATGCCTTTTTGTTCTAAAGTTCCTTGATTCTCAGGTGCGGAGACTTTTGTTTCTAAACAGGAAGCCCTATTATGAAGATTTAAACTTTAATATTTACCTTGGATGCAACATGACTATTTGCTCACAACTGACATCTTGTTTTATTCTACCTTTGTGTCCTGGGTTATAATCACTTAGCTTCTTGATTTCACTTAATGCCAGCATATAGAAGCACTTATATAATTTAATCAATTTTATCTAGTCGGTTTTTTTAACTTACTAAAGTATAATGTAGAGAAAACTACACAGATCATATATGTACCTACAGCTCAACTAACTTTTACTCTTCTAACTCACTGCCATCCAGTCAGTGCTGAC